AAGATAGTATACTTTAGTGATGCTATAAGCCAAGTTTAAAAAAGATTTAGTAATGTCCTTGGAGTTGTATGTGTTCTGCCTTCCCCAAGCACTTGCCAAGTCAACACGACAGCTTACTCAAATTCACCTTTCTTCACCAACTCAACCTCACACAAAATGGCCTCAGCCTCCGTTCTACTATCAAAATTTGACCACCAAAATTACAAGTGCAAGTTCTAAATGTCAATAATTTTATAACAATTAAATATAGAGTGTGCCTCTTATTAAGTATATCGATAGCTATGTATGTCCACTTTTATTCATTGGTAAAACGTGATCCACGATTGTTGTGTAAGGACCAAAGGATATTAGGGCTAGTTAGAATTTTGAAAATCATCGTTTTTGTATTTAAATTGAGTGCCAGCGTTTTGAAGATTTTGATAATAAATTTAAATACAAACTTAGTACTTTTTGGTCGCACATGGTGGAAAAGGTAGACAAATAAAATAATGTAGCAAAACATAGATAATAACTCAGTTGCATCTACTTTAAAAAATTTACGATCTTCTATTGCTAATTTGAAGGCACTTTCCACTAAAGGAATATGGTCATTGTACTCTTTGGAAGTTTCTGTGAAAGCACCTTACTTTTGCTATTTAGTGTGTTCGAGAAGATATGCTAATGTGGCCATAACTTGATAATCTTCTGAAGACAGCAAACAAATGATGATGGACCAATTGTGACCAAAAAGGCCACAAGTATTATGCTCGATCTGAATGTCACATTATAAAGAATAGCCACTTGTTGTAGATATGTGCATATCTTAAAGTCATTTCTACTTTCATTACCTATAGGATTCAAGTCTGAATGAATTGCAAAATAATGGGCAATTTCTGGATAATAATTATGCTGATTTAGGTTGCTTTATGGAAAAGAGAATTAAGTTGTTCGGAATCAAATAATTAACTATGGTTTCATTTATTATATATGCCAAATTTAAAGGTCAAGGAGATTCTCATTGTAAAACTTACAATAATTTGGCTCCAAATTTTATTTTATTTTTTAAGTTTGTAAGATATTGTCATGGGCATACTTTCTGAAATTCCAATTAAATTTTGCAGCAACTAAATTTTGCTTGTAGAATGGTTAAATGTGAAAAAATAATTTCAAGTTTAAATAAGAGGTTAAGCCAAAATTTTAGTTTTCCCTCCTTTTTTCTCCAAAAATTTTGAGAATTTATAGTCTCTTTAATTGAAATAAGTTCAAACTTAGCACTTTCAAGTTGGCTTCCAAATTTATTTTATTTTGGAGCATCATAATATGATATTACTATCCCAGTGTAATAAAGTATTATATACAGAATATTGAAAGTTTGAATTTTTGTATTAAAGTTGACCGTTTCCCAATCTCAATGGCAAGTAGGACAATTTAATGCCTTACTCTTGGGAAATGACTCTTTGTATCAACTGTGTGTCTCATATATGAATGATTAAATGAAAGTCTTATTAAAGGTATTTTAACAAGTAAAAATTTCATGTTAACTAATTTTTCTAAATCCATTTAACTGTTTCTATTTTCTCTATAAATAAAGAAGTAATGAAGGAGCTATCATGCATAGCAATAAATTTATGAATGATAGCAATACATTGCCAATAATCAATGTTGGCAGCTTGAATCAATTTGTCTACACTAGCATTAGCATGTGGTATGTAGGTAGCTTTACACTAATGGAAACAATAAAAAATTACCAATCGTCGGAGGTGTATAAAAAAAAAAAAAAAACACTTTGTATATTAAGATTTTGCAAATTATCCAATTCAACACTCACTTCGACACATCACAAAAGGCGAAATCTCCATCGACCACCCTGGCTTTCTACGCGGTTAGCACAGTCTGTCGCAGTCGCTCCTCACACCTAAAGGCGTTTAATGCTCATGCATTTGGCTTATTTCAACTTTAAAGAGGCCATGCAAAAATTGCATAATTATCAGAAGCGTTATCATCATGAAATACTATAAAAGTTGAAATTTTTGCAATAAAAGAAAGGCATCTGATTGCGGCTTTATCTTCTTTATTGTCAGGTTCATTATGTGATCAATAGCACAAATACATATATATACTTATATATAGTATATATTATAATAGTATAAAAAAAAAAAAAGAATTTCCCATAAAAAAGAAATTAATCAATTCAAGCGCGCACTGCTTCACTCTCTACCCGAACAACAACAAAAAAAAAAATTGTGTGTGCCCTAAACAGTCTCAAATTTTTAAGGTTAGAAAGGTCTATCCTATTTGGTTGATATATAATAGTAAAAAAAAAAAAAGAATCCCATCAAAGAAATTAAATAATTAAGGGATGCTTACTTGTACCGAAAAAAAAAAAAAAATTGTTGTGCCCTAAACAGTCTCAATTTTTGAAGGGTGTAGAAGGCGTACCTATTGGTTGTCAAGAAAAGAAAATTTTTAATTAATAATTCTAAAATTTGATGTGAAGAAAAGCATAGGTTAATGGTCCTTTTTATAGAAGATTTTTCAACTCTAAACTCAAGAAGATTAAATTTTTGACTCCAAATGATCAAAGATTTTGATTTTTTTTATAAAACAAAGATTTTAATTTTTGAATGATAAAAAATCTCAAAACAAAAAATTCTAATTCAAAAAGGAGTAGAGTTTCACGATTTGCGTTAAAAGAAAAATAACCCATTGAATTAGAGTGGTTCAAGCTAGAAAAATATTTAAAAGAAAAAAAAGCAAAAGTTGCCAGACTTGGGAACAAATTTCATGCAATTGGGAGGAGATGGGTTGCCAACTTATTTTTTTTAAAAAAAAAATTAACAATTCATTAATAATGAATATAAGTTGAGTACATTATAATATTGCTGCAGGAATAAAATATAGAAAATTGAAATCTTTTGTTTGGAATGTTCTTGATTTTAGGAGAAGAGATTAATTTTTCGAGTAAAAACTGGTCAATTTTCAAATAGAATGATAAAAGAAACTTTTCACACTATTGTTTTGAATATTATTTTTTTAGAAACTTATTATAACTGACACCTACCAAACTTTAATAGAAGAATTATCAAGTCCCATTGGTAAAAGAAATTCATCCGAACTTGAAAATCTGAAGTCTCCTATCATAAGCAACCAGCAATCCATCTTGTATTTCGAACTACCAAATAAATAAAATATTCACGTAAAAACTCCTCAATAACGAGGAACAATTTCACTAAAGTAGAAAAATTAGTAAACCCTTTGAGAGCGTACCAAAAACACTCAAGATCTGTTAATTATTATAGATCTAATAGACTAAATTCAAGTTTTATTTTAAACGATTATAGGTTTAAAAATTATTAAAAAGAAAATTAAATATTTGAAAATTATTACAAAGAAAATTAAATAAAATAAAGAAAAACAAAAGGAAGGTACGAGAAAAAATCACCAGTGACCAAAGAGACTATCAGGAATAGTTTAGAAAACAAAATTTAAAAAAAAAAAAAAAAGAGCGAGGGAGACGGCTAAGGTTGCCAACTTCTACTAATTGAGAGTCAAGATAATAAAAGGATATGAATATGTATGTATTGTCAAATTTTGAGACCCATTCAAATAATTTAATGAAAATGTTTTGACAGGGATTTATAGATACTTAAATTTTATTAAATTAATTTATTAATTAGTTAAATTAAATAATTTATTTTGACAATAATCAAAATATTTTAATGTTTGTTAAAACAAAATTATTGAATAGAATTATTTATTTCATTGAAAAAATAATATAGTAAATTCAAATAAAAATTCTTCAAGTGAATCAATTAAATTGAATACTTAGTGTACAGGTTAAGTGTCTATATAAAATGCAAAAGTGACCAATAAAAGTTAAGAATAGACCAATTAAATTACATACGTGGCTAAAGGATTTCATCAAACCTCTATAAATAGGCGTTTTCTCTTCACATTGCAGACACATGCAAAAAAGACAGAAAAAAAAATATTAAAACTCTTCAAACTAAAACTAACAAAAGCTTTATATCAAGTTTAAAGAACCTAAGCTCTTTTAACGTCAATTCGAGATCAAGTCTGTGCGATCCTTGAATTGTCCAAGTTCATTTTTCATCAATTCAAGATCAAACCTCTTGGACCCTTTAAATCAAGTTCTCAAATCTCATTCCACATCTATCCAAGAAAAAGTCGTTTCAATTTTTAAATCGTGTTCTAATCATAAAGAGAAAAATTAGAGAAAAAATTTTTTTATAAGAGAAGATTCCATACTAGAAATTATATGCACTTATCTTTTTGTAAATATAATTTATATTTTTGTCTTTTCATTTTTAGGGTACAGATTCTATGCATACAGTAAGCAAATCCCCCTCAAAGAGAAAGTTGTTAATAGACACTATATTTTGACAAGGTCAGAATATAATTTTAATTAAGTAATTTACTTCTAGTTTTGTTTGGTAAAAAATATGAAATAAATTAATGTTTGGTGAAAAATTCTACAAATAGATTTTTAAGGGAAGAATATAATTTTGTCATTAAATTATAATTAAATTAACATATGAGGACCTCTTTTTTTAAAAAAATTAACTAATAAATCCTTAAATTATGATTTTGTTAACAATTTGATCCCTCTATATATTTTGAATGAAAGACCAAAATATTAACAGAATTATAATTTAAAAATGATATATTTTTTCAAAAAAAAAAGATTTTTATGCGTTAATTTAACTATAATTTAAGAATTTATTTATTTTTCACTTTTTTTATCCTCTTATTATATTATTAGAAAAATTAAATAATAGAAATGACATAAAAATTTCCAAAATGAGCTTTTATCCTTTTAAGAAGTTGAAGGTGTATTTTTATTTAATTTTCATGTTATGCTTTACTTCACTTTTTATTTGCTTATTTTATTTTATTCACTTATTTTATTATTATTTTTTAAATTAAAAAAAGCTTTAAACCCTAATTTGACAGCTCCATGTATTATTCTGAAGTAAATTCTAATCCCAAACCCATATATATCCCATTTTCCCTTCTTATTTCCTCCCTTACTTTACGCATTAACGGATCTTCTGGACCGTCCTCGCTCTGTCTTCTCCTCTCTCAGAAGAAGAAACGTCGAACCTCTTCTCTCATTATGGGTTAATCACTCTCTTCCTCCCTTCTTCGTTGTTTCTTCTCTCTTCAACTCCAAAAACAGAGACGAAAAAAAATGTTCATTTTTCTCTGACGTCAACGTGTTTCAGAAGCAAGTAGTGCGATTCTGTTGATTCAAAAAGAAGGGTTTAAGGATAAGGTTCTGATCTTATTTCCGTAGTTCTTCATTTTTTTCTTATTTGCTTTTGCTTTTGGCTTTTGAGTATTTGCTTTTAACAATACACTGAATACTCTGTCCTACTCTAACAGTCTTACTTTAAGAATCAGTTATTATATTATTTTTGTGTAATGGATTTGTGTTGTTGTTGTTGTTGTTGTTGGTATTACGTATATTTGTTTATGCTTATCTAGGGTTTGGGGTTTCACTTATTGAGCATGGGTTTATGAAATATTTGTTCTGTTTACTTCTGTGTTTGAGAAAAATGAAATCCATTGCCTGTAGTCTTAGATTTTTCGGTATATAAGATTGGATTGAATTTAAGCGAATAAGGGTTATGTAGAGGGACAAAAGTGGATTTTAAATATGGTGCTGTAGTCTTAGATTTTTATTTTTTTGAAATTACTTGGATGTTTGGTTTGATCTTTAATATGTTTAATATACATGATTTTTGTTATGATTTGGGTTACAATTTGCTAATGAATAGTTATTGAATTTTTTTTTCTTATGTTTGGTTTTGAGCAATGAAATATGCGTCGGAGTTTATACAAGATAATGATATTGATTTTGGAACTTTATGCTTTGTTGGACATGTTTGGTTGAAATGATTCTGTTGTGTCCCTATGATTGGCCTATAGATGTTTCGAGGATAATGACTTCAATTATGTTAATATTATTTAGCTTTTATTTTTTGATTGTTTGAGAAAAACTAGAATTTCTTTGCTTGCACTTATTTGCTGGATGTCAAAGAGTAATGCCCAGAAAGGAATTCTCTATCCAGTTGAACTTGGGTATTTTGAATTAATATATAAAAATTAAAACAGTGAAAATGGTAAATCTAAATTTGTTGATGATATTATTAAAAAATAAAAAAAAATAAAAACCTGAAGCTTTGAATCCATGTTTGCGAGGATATGATGAGGATATTGTTGAACACAATCAAATATTCTAGGGAAAGAAATTTGGCATGGAAACTTCAAATTTTTTGGTTTTTGTTTGACTTACGGACCGTCTATGGTTGCAGCTAGCCTCTGTGGAGAAGTAATAAAGATGTTATGATTTTTATTTTAGGTTCTTATAATGTTGAATGAACTGGATTGAATGAGAAAATTAGTTTTTTGCTTTGTTTTGAGTTGAGATATCAATTCTAGATACTGATTCAGTTTGGATTCTTTGGAAAAAATTGTTGTGTCACTTGTTTGGATTGAAGGACAATCAGTGTTTAATTAGTGCATATGTGTAATGTTTTGTTTGTTTATTTAAGCTCAATGTTATGATTGCTTCTTTTCTGTTCTATTCTTTTTTCTTATTTGTTTGCTATATATAAGCAGATCAAATTCAAGGGAGAGAAATTTCTGGAATTCGTTTGGAAAGGTTGGAAGAAGGAAGAAAATCTTGATTTTCCAAATTTTGTAGGATATTTTGAATTTTAGGTTTTTTGGACTGTAATTAAATTAACTCATAAATTCCATTGTAATATTATTTTTGAAGACTGTAATTAATCAATTCCCAACATTAATTGTAATGTTGATTTGTAATTTCTTTTATAAAAATGCTTTTCCCCGTGCTTATATTCAAATAGCTGTAAACTGTATGTAATGTCATTTTTTGCTTGCTGTGGTTATTGTTCAGTTAATTGAGTCAAATTTTGGTCAAATTAAGTCAAAGCAGTTTTAAGTACAACTGACTTTGACTTGATTCAATATATATATATTTTTTTGGGTATATTTATTAACTACTTAGAACAGTTTTTCTAAAATTAGTATTAGTATTTCTCTCTTATATTATTACAACGACCAGTCAACTTACTCTAGCCTTAATTGTTGGAAACTAATTACTCTAAACTTTTCTACTATGAATATTGATTTACAGTTCTTGTTAGGTAGTAGGATTTTGTTTATACTTTGTTGTTAATTTTCAGGAACCTCTGAATCTGTGGAGTCATAGTAAAACACTATTTTTCTTTCAGTTTGTTCTCTCTTGCTCACATAAGTATGATTTTACTGTATATTTATTGTTTATTGTATGTGACTGTAGAGTCAGAGAGAAATTATTCAAATTCTCAATTTTTATCAACAGATGGAGCAAGTTGCTGTACCAAGTGGGTACGAGCGAGTTGTTCTACCATTTGGGTACAAGTTTTGTCCTACAGATTCAGAATTAATTCTTTTCTATTTAAAGAGCAAGATATTGGGTCAAGATCCTATTGTAAAGAAAAAGTCATTGGATCAAGATCTTATTGATATAATCCCTACCATTGATGTTTTCTCCAGCAACCCAGATCAGCTTCCCGTGGGTAAGTTAAATTTCTTCATCTTCTATCTGATTATTGTTAGCAGTGATCAATATGTTAAGCTAGCTTTAGCTTTGCATTTTAACTATATATATCTGAATTTTATTTACTCATGATTGCTATGACTTTTAGTGAATTCAAGTCTGTTAATCAAGTAGTTTGAATGTCGAACTGAAATTCATTGATCATTTTAAATATATCATATATAATCTCATTCAGGGTTAATAAATATTGTTTTTAAAATTTTAAATAATTAAGTAAAGTCAGTAATTATTAATATTAAAGTAAAGTTAGATTATACTTCAATATAAGGGAAGTTTCGATAAACATTATACAACTCGTAGTAATTTTGTACAAATTTTCAAGTGGAATTTACTTCAAATTGTTTGGTGAGCTTGGATTTGTAAATTCTTTTACAGGTGACTATGAGCATGGATCGTGCAGTGAATGGTATTTCTTTTCCAACAGAAGAAAAGGCAAAATTTTAACAAAAGATGGTTTCTACCGTGTCTCCTCTAGGAATCACGTCTATATGAGCAAACACAAGAAAGAATTGATTGGTTTTGTGCGAAAACTTGATTTCTACCATGGAAGGCCTGATAAAGGATCCAAATCTCAATGGAGTATATACGAGTATAGAGTTAATCCTGAGTGGCTTCAAGTTAATGAAATGGATCATGCTACTCGAGAAAAGGTAAGTTTAATTTACTTTTATGTTGTAGTTTTTTATGCCATTGTTAGAAACTAAAAAGAAGTAATTTTGCTTATATGTTGTTATTTGTTGTCATTGTTCAGAAGAAATAAGGACATGATTAAGGAATTTTAATTCTTTCTTACATACGTTTATTCTTTTCAGATTTTAAATGTTGTTGCTTGCAAAGTCATTTATAGACAACCGCCCAAGCCAGAAGGCACATTTGAATTGCTCGGAGTTAGAGATGTTGAACTCTTCATAAAGAATCAGGAGATGGACAATGTAGAACTCGAACTCAATGAAAAAGATCAAAAGGAAAATGAGAATGAAAATGTACAACTTGAGCTCAAGACCTCCAGGAATGAAAGGGATCGAAAGGGAAAAGAGAAGGATCAAAATGAGAAGGGCAATGAAAGGATCAAAAAGTAAGAGGAAATAGGAAAATGTTATGTTGAATCCAAAAAATCTTGGAAAAGTTGCAGAACAGCATTGTCTTCCCATCTCAAATTTTTGTTTTAAGGTCTTTTACCATAAGAAAAGAGAAAAAAAAGATTGAATATGTACATACATAGATATATGGGAAATTAAAAGGTTTAACCTTTAAAGTGCAAATCATATGGGAAATTACAAAGGAGGGGAATATATTTGGTTTTGATTATGTTTAGTTTTTTTTTATTATTTTTATTATTATTTTTTTATTATTAAATTTAGCTAGTTTGGGAAACTGAATAATGTCTCGTCTTCCTTTCTTCGTCGTATAGCCCTGCATTTAAATGATTTGATGGAAATTCCAATTTTGATGAATTTAGATTTTTTTTTTTGAAAAATGTAATTCATTAATAATAATATCAATAATTATAAATAAGTATATAGATCAAATATAGAACTTTACTAGTTAATAAAGGTTATTAATCTATTAACTGACACAAGAATCTATATCCTTTTGAATAATGAAGATTTACACTGTCAGGAATAGACTGCATTGTCAGGTCATTGATTGAAGATTTACACTTGCAATTCAAGATCTAAACTCTCCAACCAAATAAAATCAAATATCATAATTTTATTTAAAAATAAACCCTCACAAGAAGGGACTAGCCTCACAAAGAGATAAAAAAAACTCCCAATTATGAGACAATCAACCGTAACAAAAAAAAAAAAAGTAAATATATTATAAGAAAAATATATTTGAATTTATTAAAGCAAAAAAAAGTGAAGCGAAAGAGATAGTAGAAAGTAGAAGATAGAGGGCTACCACTAATGAACAGCAGTAGCCCCCATTAGCGGTAGCTTTAAACTAAAATTAGAATAAAAAAATTACAGAGAAAAGAGAGATAGAGAGAAGAGTAGATTTAGGGTACCTTTGTTCTTGATGAATTTAGAATTGATTAAATTTTGAAAATTGTTTTTAAAAGATAAGAGTGATGCTAAATGGGTAAAACGAAGCTAGTTTTAACAGGGACGTCCTGTATACTTGAGTTTTTAATATTCTAAAAAACACTTCGTTTAATCCATATTAAGCGTTTATTTAGAGAATTTCATAATGGAAATCATGCGAAATCTTTTTTTTTTTTTTTTAATTAAGCGTTTATTTAGGAATTTCATAATGGAAATCATGCGAAATCTTTTTTTTTTTTTAATGAAGTCCATTTTTTTTTTTTTTTTACATGAAGGTCCAATGAACCAAAATAACTTTATAAACTACACAACAAGGACAATCCTCCACTTTGAACTCGAGACTTCTCATTCTATATATCTTCTAAAGGGAGTAGGAAGAAAAATCATGCGAAATCATTAATACTCCATATATCTTCTAAAGGGAGTAGGAAGAAAAATCATGGGAAATCATTGATAGAGTAATATTTTATTAAAATGCCCTTTTAAGAAGGAAAAATGTAATGAACTAAGTTGGCAAATAGAAGTTCAAAAAGAGAATCAATTGCATGACTCGTGTTTGAAAATAGTTGTATTATGTTATTTTGATTTTAACATGAATTTCAACAAATATATTCTCTCTTTTTGGCTTTTGTAAAGTTGATAGTAATTAAAATGAAAAAACTAAAAATTATAAGAAAATAATCAAAGTTCTTAAATTTAACAAAATATTGTTTATTCAAATTGTTTCTTACGAGTTAATTTGTACTTTAGTATTTTACGGATTCAACTGTATCTTATAATTGCATGTGCGTAAAATTGCTTTGTAAAGTTTTTCTTCTTCTTTCTTTTTATTATTTTTTTTTTAAAAGCAACATCAATCAATTTGCATTAAAAATCATAATAATGCAACAAAATGTTAGGGCGCCGGCAAAATTACGAGAATAATAACACAGCGGAAAAAATAGAAATATGACACACAGATATTTACGTGGTTCACCCTTAATTGTTTAGGGCTACGTCCACGGGATAAATAGCGAATATTTCTTCCACTATTAAAAATAGTAGGCTTACAAAGAAAGTAATACAGAAATAGTGGTACTCAAAAAGTGTTTCCCAAAAACACCCCAAATTACCTTTACTATTTTCTCTACCCTAGTTTTAGAACCCTTTCTAAAACTAAAACTTTCTCTTTTCTTTTCTTTTACTCTGCTTGTGTGAGCCTACTATTTTTAACAGTGAAAGAAATATTCGGTATTTGTCCTCTGGACGTAGTCCTAAACAGTTAAGGGTGAACCACGTAAATATCTGTGTGTCATATTTCTATTTTTTCCGCTGTGTTATTATTCTCGTAATTTTATTGCCGTGTGAGTCCCACATGTCGGAGGGACCTACCACGTTTTCTTTTCTTCTCCTTTTTTTATATTTATTTTCAAATGTGGGTCCCACTGAGTGGGCACCGGGGCACCGCCACAAACAATCTCCCCCTGCACACTCAGTGGGACGTGCCCCTGCACACTCAAGTGGGGACGTTAGCGCTATCTTTCTGCAAGTGACAAGTTTCTCTGTAGGTAAAGCTTTAGTCATCATATCAGCGCCATTATTATCAGTGTGAATCTTTTCAATCTAAAATAACTTCATCTCCAACGCATCACGTATCGAATGATACCTCACATCAATGTGCTTTGACCTTGAATGAAAGGTCGAATTCTTGCGGAGATGTATCGCGCTTTGACTATCACATAGCAGAATGTACTTCTCTTGTTCTACACCCAATTCTTGTAGGAATTTATTCATCCACAAGAGTTCTTTGCTAGCTTCTATAATGGGAATATATTCCGCCTCAGTGGATGAGAGTGCATGAGAGTGTAACGCATTTTTGCAATTTCGATTGCTAAGAAACTGCTGCTCCTGCAAAGGTCATCAGATATCCAAAAGTTGATTTGTGCGAATCAACATCACCACCCATATCTGCATCTGTGTAACCATCTAACACAGGTCTATTATCACCAAAACATAAGCAGATTTTGAAAGTGCCCTTAAGATACAGAATCCACTTCACTGCATTCCAGTGTTCTTTACCTGGATTTGAAAGAAATCGGCTAACAACACCAATAGCATGAGCAATATCCGATCTTGTGCATACCATGGCGTACATCAATGGCTCTTGTGCATACCATGGCGTACATCAAGTTGCCAACGGCGGATGCATAAGGAATCTTCTTCAGTTCTTCTTTTTCTTTCTCACTTGAAGGACATTGACTAAGACTTAATTTGAAATGGCCTGCAAGCGGAGTACAAACTGGTTTTGCATTGCCCATATTGAATCTGCTAAGAATTTTCTCGATGTATTTCTCTTGAGACAGCCACAACTTTCTCCTTTTTCTATCTCTGGAGATCTTCATTCCAAGAATCTGGTTTGTCGATCCCAAATCCTTCATGGCAAAGGATTTTCCAAGCTCCTTTTTTAAGCTCTCAATTTTCTCAGCATCTTGGCCCACAATAAGCATATCATATCATCCACATATAAACAGAGGAATAATAAATCGCCAATAAAATCTTTACGAACTTGTTTTCAAGTCGCCTTCTACGAACTTTTTCACAAATACACAATGATCAAAAGTAGTTTTCTCATACCCGTGATTTACCATGAAAGAGTCAAACTTTTTGTACCACTGTCTGGGAGCTTGTTTGAGGCCATACAAGCTTTTCTACAATTTACACACCAAGTATTCTTTGCCTTTGACTCTGAACCCTTCTAGCTGCTCCATATAAATTTCCTCCTCTAAGTCACCATGGAGGAAAGCGGTCTTTACATCAAGTTGCTCGATCGCCAAATTCAAGCTAGCTGCTAAATCGAGCACAACTCTGATAGAAGACATCTTGACTACGGGTGAGAAAATTTCTTCAAAGTCAACTCCTTTCTTCTGACCAAATCCCTTCACAACCAATCTTGCCTTGTACCTCGGCTGTCAGTTGTTCTGTTCAGTTTTCAACCTGAACACCCATTTGCTTTTCAGTGCCTTCTTACCTTGAGGCAGTTTCACCAACTCATAAGTCCAGTTCTCATGCAAGGACTCCATCTCATCTTGCATGGCTTTCCACCTTCAACCACGTATTCTTTTTACAATCTTCCATTGCCTCCTTGGTAGTTCTCTGGATTCTCCCCCTTGAGTCGAATAAGTTCATTACTCATTAGGAGAATATCTTTGGATAGGTTATTCCTTGCCTCTCGCAGATCTTCTCAATTGAGCATCTTCTTTGGAGCGTGGTTCAGCAACTTCATTTCGTAAAATAGGTTCACCATCATCTCTCCATGCATTTGTGGGTTCTACATTGTGAGGTTTCGTGCATGTCAAGACTAACAGGGAAAGTCATTGATAGACTTTGGCGTTTTCATGTTTTTCTCAAAGTCTGTCAAATGGTTTGGTCTTCCAGAATACGACAATCGTCGGCTTTCTGATGAGCCTTCTTTTTCAACCGGATCCATAAATCTGTTACCCAAAATTCAGTTCATTTCATAACCCAAGAAGATAACACTGGTTTTTGACTTCGAATCGTAGCTTTGGTATCTATTCATCTCTTTGTGGAATATGAAGAAAAGGCCTGTGTAGCCAAATCCATTCGTAAGATGATCGTAAGAAATATTTTTCCCTGACTACCTGACCACACCTTGTTTTGGTCCATCTTCCGTTGAGGAGAGCGTTGAAAAGTGAAAAGGTTTGATACGAAGTAAGAACTGCAGTTATTCATTGCTTCAGCCAAAAGGTTTTTAGGAAGTTTGCATGAGAGAGCATACATTCCACCCTTTCAACAATGTCCTGTTTCATTCGTCTCTGCAGAAACTCCATTCTTTGGTGATGCAACTCCATTCTGTTGTGGAGTTTTGGGAACTGTCTTCTGAAGTCTGATGCCGTATTCTGAGCAATACTTCTCAAATGGTCCTCTGTACTCACCACCATTATCAGCTCTAAAATATTTTAGTTTTCTTCCCGTTTGTCTTTCAACACTGACATGAAAGACTTTAAACATATCTAGCACCTGGTATTTTGACTTTATTGGTAAAGCCCACACCTTTCTAGAATTGGTACACACTGATGTTTGCTTAATGGGTGACAAATCCTTGAGTGGTTGCTCATATTACCTTAGGGCCCCGGCAATAAAATTACGAGAATA